ACCTTTTAGCCAAACAATGCATTTACCGAGAATGCTTTTAAATTGGCCTTCCTCTTAAATATGTGATGATAGTAAAGGATGAAGAGAGGAGATCTTTTAAGAGGATGATGCAAAGTGATACATTTTAATCTCTACCAAGTTTGTATAAGATGTCACTAAATATGTGGAGAAATTTTATGACGTAAAGTTGAAGTTCTTGTATTTATAAACGAAGGATCATTCCCTTTTGCATTGGTATGGTATTGGGGAATATTATGAAATTTCATAAAACTTTCATATTTATTTTGGCATTTTAAATTACCTGAAAGAATATCTGGGGAATAATCGATTTACCAACTGACATCATAGCATGCAATCCCCAGACATGACAGATATATACAGAGATTACAAAAGTACACTTATGAAAAAGATACAAAAATGATAAAGTGTTATTATAAAAGTGTTTTTATGCTGCGATTGTAGCTGTTCAGGTTGTGAGTGAAGATTAACATTGTGTAACCACAACCAAAGTAAATGGGTCATTATATATCTGATACTAATCTATTTGACTCTTTAAAAATAAAAAAAAGGGAAATAAAAGAATATTTAATACAGGGAGATGATGATAATAACACTGACATAATATCAAATGGGGAAAGGGGTATGCGAAGCGATGATGATTAGCATTTGCCTGCTCAATCCTAGTTTGTATAAGATGTCACTAAATATGTGGAGATGAAGACCAAACTTTGCACAAGTGAGGAGAGTGAACCATAAAGTACTGCCTGGCACCAGTAGTGCAATACAAAAAAAAAACACCCTCTTTGGGATGAACTACTGCAGTGCACATGGCATTACAACTTCCCCAAATGCTCCTCGGGGATCGGGAGAGGAGGAATGTTGGCTAGGAAGATGAGAAGAAGTATTCTTTCTATAAAAAAAAAGGAAAACCACAAAGGGTTTTGACGTTTTTGGGTAGGGTTGGTCGGTACAGTCTCAGCTTGGTCTCATTTCATTTTGTTCAGTTTGGAACGTTCTAAGCCATGATATGATAGAAAGTTAAAATTTGGAATAAAAATGTGGAAGACCATATTCTATAGCATTTTGATCACACATATTTTGTGTTTGTCAAATGTGTAGTTAACCACATTTTGATGTGTTTTTTTTTTTGTATCGTTGGAGTAATTAATTGTCCTATTTCTGCCATTCTACTATTTTGTTTATATTTTGTTTATTTGAAAGGGACATGTGTTGTGCATGTTCCTTGACTGATTTGCTTCACACCTCTACCCTTACCTTTGTCAAGATATGTCAGTAATGGTTTGCGATAAAATGATTTTTTGAGTAAGGAAATATGAATCCTGCATCTTTCAATGAAATTACGATATTTTTATAACAGTTTTAATGATACTTAATGCAAGATAGTAAATTTTAAACATTCGGTTTAAATCCCCCCCCCCCCCCCCAGTAAAGTAACGTTTTCAATTAGGATGCGGTAATCTTATATCTATTGCATGACCAGTGTGCTTGGTACCTTGCACTGGGATTTCTTTTTGGAGTTGATATAACTTTCTGTTTTTAAGTAAAGGCACACACAGAACACGGCTTTGTGTTTTGTAAATCCTCACCCACTAAAGTAGAGAGATAATGAGAGTAAGAATAAAGTAGAATAAACATTAGTATTAAAGGAGGCTCTAACTCTAAGGGAATATTTTATATTTTCAAACGGCAATTTCACAAGAAGAATCAAAAATCAGTGTAGACGTAGTTTTGGTGGTCCATGGCATGTTGAAGTTGATTGTAGAATCCAAAGTCCAAGATGTTCATGCAATGTTGCTTACCTGACCTAGATTTATTAATTGTGAATGTAGACTAAAGATTGTTGTGAAAATTGAGAGAATTTCTGTTAAATTGCAAATCTCCAGTAACCTAAAAAGACTACAGATATGGTGAAAACTCATGATTTATCCATGTGTATCAATGTTCTCCAGCATTTGTTCCTGTCTCTTCAAATATTTCCAACTGTAAACCTTTCAACAACATGTAGGAATTCAATCAATTTAGTGATGCATAGCAGATGTGAGGTGGGAAGGGGATAACAAATTAGATTACTCGACTGTAAAGAGAGAAAAAAAAATGGATACTGATCTGTCCATGAAAGGAAATGCTGTGTATTCACTGGAGCTTTATTCCGAAATCAAATATGACTTAAATATATTGTCCGTTCAGAGCCAAAAGGGCATTAAGTCTGTGTTCTGAATTGTAGGTCCTCCTGGCTACAAACAGACAATACATGTATTCCCTTCAGTAACAGTTATTAAATAGTATTAGCCCCCCATGCATATGTAGTGTTCTCGGTACAAGAAGGCCGTGAATTATTGCCAATCAATCAGTCAGAGGTGTGCTGTTTCTTAGATAATGATTACAATTTACAAGGATCCATTTTGAGGTTAAAGGTTGAGACACAAGGAAATGTACATCCCATGTGTAGAATGGCCAACGATGAATTTACAAACCTTAAGTTGTAACTTCACTTCCCATCTTCATTTTTTAGCTTATTTCATCTATGCACCTGTCGGTCAAAGAAAAAAGAAGATGATTTGATTGATATAAAAAAGGTTCTATTCATTTTTTTTTAAAACTTGGAATTATCAGTAGAATAAGAGCATGTGAATGGAGCTTATCGAAGCTGTTGATTTACTCTCAAGAAAATATTACCGAATAAAACAAGCTGAGACTTACTTTGCTGTTTGATTGTTCGTTATTCTTTCTTCAGATTTATTTTTGTTTGTATGTACTGTAGAATATGAAGAATAAAAGTCTCCCTATTTCATTGCAGTGTGAGTGAGTGAAGCACGAGTTGAATCTGTTGGGACCGCGATAAATAGTTGAATTATGCATAACCAAATAACATGTTTAACATAATTTGGTCCAACACAATTGCGATTGAGGTATGCAGGGTTATCTGTAGGTCATTAAAATGGAGATCAGAGGCTGTATATGTAGCTGATAGAAATGGGATATTTCATTCATTCATTGGTCACCCGCATAAAGGCTGTAATAGTGCCATCAACAATACATACATATAGGCCTTATGGCCTCATAGGCAGCCATAGATTTGTTTAGCGAGTATCCTATCGGCTGAAATGGGGTCACATGACACTCACAATTTGTTATACAGTCAAACCTGTCTATCGTGACGGCCCAAAGGAAACACAAAAAGTGGTCTTTGTAGACAGGTGGTCACTATTAAAGCAGGATTTACTGTACAAAATAGGTTCTTTGTTAGAGAGTACTCAGAGTATCCCATTGGCTGAAAAGCTATCACATGACTTGAAAGATATGTGCACAAACATGCAATGTAGCATATCTTGTTGCACGGTATATTGCGTTCAAAAGTAAGTAGACCATGTCCATACTTAATTGGGCATACCCATTGTTTCCAATGTTCTATAGACATGCACATTTGACATGGAAGGTAAATTCAATGTGGTTGACTTGAGAGAAGAGAAGCATGAGATTGCAAATACTGGTACCCTAAATTTTATATACACAAAACGTGTAATAAATATAGCATGCCATTTTATTTCAGTTTCGGTCTGTGGGCTAGGAGAAATATATGCATGTAGGTCTAAGTTCTCCTTCGACATGAATAGACACAGGGTTGGATTATAGTGAATTAGTAGCTAGATTATGGACCTTTAAGTATAAGCTACGCTGAGGTGAAATTACAGTGCTTGGACATTTGCTCTGGTGACAATGGCTTCAGGCTTCTTGTGTCCGGACACTGAGCAAAATTAAGGCATTCTCTTTTGCCTATGAATTTAACAAAAACAAATCATTTAAATAGCACTCATCATATAAAATAGAAGGGTTTTATTACAATAGTCTAAGGACTATGACATAATATATATAAAAATATCATATTAAAAACTCTACATCACAATTCAATGAGTATGGAAAGAAAGAAGGGGTGAATGAGGAATAGGAGCAAGGAGCAAGAATCAACAAAAGGTGAGAAAAGAATGAAAGAAAAAGAAAGGAAGAGTAAGTAAGAGGAATATATCAGGAAAGATGAGGTGAAAAACATGTGTAATGAGCCTTCTATTAATTAGCTTTAAAATGTACAGATCCTCATGACTTGTACAAACCATAAATATATACAATCATGAATATTCATCCTATATTATATTGTCCAACAGATTGATGAAATGTTGCTCGTAAACTTCTTAAAATTACTGGATGTAATAGTGATTGGGTGTTTAGCTAAGATAGGATTAAGATTAGGGTTATGAATAACATTAGGCCTAGGATTAGAATTCAGTGAGTGTAGCCTGTAGGATAATTCTGTGATGCGATATGTTAATACCAAAATTACATATGAGATATAGACCTCATAAGCTGCAGATTTTGTTGCTTACAGACATTATTGTATTTTTACCTACCAAAATATTGCCTAAATAAGGCTCTTAACAATTGTTACTTGTTACTTACTCTTAAATATGTATTGCAGGACTGGAAAGCTGTAAACTTTTTGAGTTTTACTGGCTTGCTAAAATAGGATAATGTGGAATCACATAATGATCAACCTTACTCGATGTAGATATATTGTGTTTGCTTATTTTTATGTGGAGGGGCAGGAAAAGTCCTTTCATTATGTATTGAAAAAACAAAAATGTGAGATGTTCCCACACCGGGAATCGAACCCGGGCCACGGCGGTGAGAGCGCCGGATCCTAACCACTAGACCATATGGGATTTCCATGTTGGAGAAGGAATTATATTCTTAATATTACTCTTTTAATAAGGTGACTACTCCATTTCAGAGGAGATTGGTGAGTTAACAGTGTTAATTATTTAAGGGAGGATAAAAATGGGAGAACGTAATAAATGATTAAAAACATTCTCTAAGTTGTAAATTATCATTTTGATGGATCTTTGCTATCATATTTCTTCACTTTTAGTCTATTTGAATTCCTCCTTCATAACTCTTATTTCCTCCCTCGATAATGGAATAGTCTAACCCCTTTTTCACAACATAGCAAAATGGCTGCCTCCAGTGCAATGAAAAATACTGTTGTTAGACTTCGGCGGAATGTAACTGCATAATCTTCTTTTGCCATTTAGATGGAGGCATTTCTGAGAAGGTCTGCGGGTCTGTGTTCAATATGTCTTCAAACTGTGTAACAGATACAACGCAATGGCTATCAGTGAACGAAGAATCGTTGTTTTTACATGACGGTTTATTACGGGTAAGCGATCTTGTTAACTTGCCAAAACATATCAACAACGCAAGCCCGCAAAACAGCTCTGACGAAGTCGTTTCCTTCGACACGAAAAATCCAACTGAATTGAGTCACAGGCTAGTTTCTGTTTGTGAGAGACACAACAATATATATGCTTACTCAAGACTTCTTGAATACCGGTTAAATGCACTGAAAGGGTTATGGAATGCCCATCGCCAAATATCTAATAATGTGGAGCAGCTGGAAAGAGAGACATTCAGTGAAGAGGAAGTGGCCAGCGCCGCCGGCCTTGGCGGCCTGAGCTTGCTGAAGAAAGTCACTTGGCACGGTGCTGAACCAGCAGCCTTTTCAAGCAGACTTGGATTACTCCTCCTGTTTCCACTTCTTCGGTCACAGCAGAGAATAAATCCAGAGCTAAGCAGTGAAACTGCTGTTCTGCTTCTTAATTGCCTTCGAGATTGTCTTCCACTGAGCCTTGCTAAAGAACCTGCGGACTGTTTAGATGGACTGGAAAATCTTTTGAGTTCCTGGCTTGGTGAAAGTGATGAGATTGATGTAATAGCTAATGTGGAACCACATGAAGAGCAACATGTTCAACAACTACCACGCCAGCTACTTGCCTCTGCATTGGTTGCATTTGCCTGCGCAAGGTTTGTATCTAAGAGGGACAAAAGATAAAATAGATATGGTCAGATTGTGGTACTTGGAACATCGGCCATGATTTGATTGCTTTTCTCATGAGTCATTATTATTAGTATTACATTATTTAGGTCGACTTAATGTTAAAAATAAAGTTAAAATTTTTTGTAATGCTTCATGAGTCTGTTTAAAAAAAGACTACCTTTGGCTTTGGCTTTACATTTTTACAATAATGCTGATTCTGTAAAATATAACCTTTCTCAGGCTTTCTGATCATTCCGATGCAAAGTTTTATAGCTATGGTCCTATAGAGGGGTTCACATGTTTTTTTCATCAAACTTTGTATTGGATCTTGGATCTTGGATTCTTATCCTCCTAAATACTCCGAAGAAGAGTTTTGACTGGAGGTGGTGGAGGGTGGACGATTACATTTTTGAAAAAAGTTCTTTAGCAACTGCATTTTTAAATGAGAGCGGGGAGGTTTGGTTGATGGTTGCTTGTTGTAGGTTGTTCCATGTCTTACAGTCCTTGAGAAATATGAGTTGGCATAGACGTCCGAGTTGGTGTGGCGAATTTCAAATTTCAATTTCAAATTTCAGACTTTAAAGTGCATATTTTGTGTGTAGACATAAAATAATGATTTAATGTGAAACTGGGCAATTAAGTCACAAAAGTCAATGATGCATTTTGTTTGTGTCTTTGTTTTATGTGGAGGAATGTATTTAATTGACCAAAATGTGTTTACATTTCTCCCATAGCAGGTCAATTAAACGGAAATGTATGTCTATGCTGGTATTCGTCAAAAGCCTTTTCAGCAACTAAAAGAGGATATTGTGGTGTAGTGTCTTTCATAGTGGTCACATACAAATCTACCCAGAAAAATTTTCTCAATCAAAATGAAATGAACAAGGAACTAGTAATATTTGTTCTTGGCCTTTAATACAACAAAATGAAATTGTATACTCAACAATTTCTCATTGAATGTTGGCAAGTTACATGCTTTTCAGTTTTCAACTTTGTTTACAATATTTCATTTTTTCTTTGCCTTTGATAATACAGGGGCTCTACAGGAACGTTCATTCACACCACCCACCTCTTACAACAGCTTGCCCCATCCATAGGCCCACTGCCCATAGCTGACATCCTCCAGAGACTCCTGAGGCTTGAAGGGGGGCCAGGCTCCCCCTCTTACCTCCATGGTAGCCGGCACGTCGTGTGTTGGGGATTTGAGGATATGCTGGGTGAGAAAGAGGAGAAAACAGAGGACAAAGAGAAAGAAAAAGGTAGGTGTTTAATTCACCATACTTGTAATCAAGGTTCAAAATTAGTGATTGCCCCACTTCCATTGACCACCTAAAATCCAATAGACCAGTTTGTAGTTAGTAATGTGTCGCAACATTAAATCTACATTAAAGGGAGTGTAGCATGACGAGGAGAACTTTGGTCTGTTTCGCGAACTATAGCGCTGACCATGGAGAGATTAAGTCGCTGACTACCGTTAATCACGTCCATTCGTTTACGTGCAGTTGTCCAAAAGAAGACGTGGATGGCGTTAACCAGCATTTGCCAAGCTAAACTCCCTTTAAATCTACATCAATCTCCATCCAGATGAGGTAAATGGGTACTTGCGTAATATTGAAGTACCAGGAGTGGCAATGTGCCACACATGAGCGTTATGATACAAGACTCTACTATTATTTACCATTATCATTATCTACAAATGACCACAAATATCTGCAGACCTTTCAATGTGCCATCACATGCCTGGAACTCAATTTTATCTTTAAATGATTTGCTTGTAGAATCCAGTATCGGTAGAAGCTTGGCCTGTGACGGTGTCTTTCTGTACTGTACGAACGCAAGGGGGAAAGGTCTTGCTAAGATTGGATCTGGATTACATGGAACGCTAAGGTGAGTCATGGCAGTTTTACTTCTGGGGGGTGTTTCACAAAGATCCTAAATTGAACTTATCTCTAAGTTGGACTTAACAATTATGGAAAGCTGTTAGCATCTTTGAAAATATTTTGTAAAAGTTATTGTAAAAGGCATAACATTTTAATTCAAATCATTCATATTTTCGTATTTATATGATCAAGGAGATTTCATGTTCTTGGTGTAGAATTTATGAAAAGTCTAAAATACTTCAATTTTTGCTTTTGAATGTATTTTATTTTAAGGCTACAAATGGCTCTCCATAATGTTTAAGTCCAACTCAGCATTATTAAAGTTCGACTTAAGATCTTTGTGAAACACCCCCCTAGACATGATAACTGATTGTTTTGTGAACAGTCTGTCAAGTATTAAAGACTACAGAAAACGGGTCATTGGGACTCTATCTGCATTCAGGAAATTTACATTGTTGAGTATTTCTTGATATCGCATGAAAACAAGAGGATAATATAAAATAAAAAGGTCTGATGAGTATTTGTGTGACATTTTAACAGTTTTACAAGGTATAACATGTTTCACATTGTAAATCCTCTTGCAGAGGTACAAAGATTTACTCGCAGGTTTTCATCATTTGAGGGCATGTCAGTCCTGTTGCTTTACTTGTAGGCCTATTCATTTGCACTTTTCCCATATCAGAAAATAAATTCAGCTTGGAAAAGAAAGAGAAAACTAGCAGTGGCAAGTCTGTTGCAATGCAATAATGAATACATTTTAGCCATTTTGTTTAGTATGAAGAGATTTTAAGTGCTTCATGTTTATTTTTTGATTGTATGATTTAAAATGAGAATGCACATTATGTGATAAAGAGTTCCTCAAATCTTATGCCATTTGAGCTCAAAATTCCAGCAATGCACTGAAAAAGATGAAATATTATCTGTTAATCAGAAAAAGACAAGTGATGTTGGCAAAAATAATGACAATGACAATATGTTTTCTATTGTACAAATCTCGCATAATTCTGAAACATATCTGTTTGCTTTAGAGCCACAATTGAAGTATGGTAGTCTTTATTTAGTTTCTTGTTGGCGCTCTTCACTAATTCAATTTTTCCCATGTTTTTTTTTCTTCTTCAGAGGCTTTGTCTACACTCGTAACCCTGACCTTCCAGTAGGCTGGATTGCGTGTACGGACAAGATACTGCTGCACCGCCCTCTGGAGGCAGACTCTAAGACAGAATCCCTAGGGTCGGTCATCAACAGAGACACTCTCAAGGTAATAGAGTTTAGTTTGAGCACCTTTGATCGGTATCGGCCAAAAGTATCGGTTCAATTTTTCAATTTATCAGAAACATTTTTTTAATGCCGAAAATTTTAAGTTTTGGGCTATCAAATACTAAAAAAACATGCAAAGCTGGGATTAATTTGTCATTTGGAGTTGTTGTAGACCATGTTTGTTGATATCAAGTGCCTTTTCATGACTTTGAAATTGATAATATAAAGAGAAGAGGCAAAACATGCGAGCCGCCATCTTGGATTATAATGACAATGGAAAGAAAAAAAAAGCATTTTCTCCCCCGATCATTTTCATTGATCGGCGATCAGAATTTACTATCCGATTTCACCTGATCAGCCAACGATGGGATGATCGGTTACAGGGTCAAGTTTAGTCTTTATTCTTAAATTAATAATGTCTTCACATATCGTCTTGTGAGAGCTAGAAAGGCGTTAAAGGGAAAGTCCACCCCCAAAATAAGTTTGTTTCGATAGAGGCAGAATAATAAGAAAATCAGGTGAGTGAAAGTTTGAGCAAATTCTGAATGAAAATAAGAAAGTTATGAATTATTAAAGTTGTGATCAATCAAATACAAATTGGCAACTCTGTGACTTATTATACGAGCTCTCCTTCATTTGCTTTGTGCATAATATTCCATAAAATCATGTTTTCTTCGTTATTGATGACGGAATATATATTTGTTCCTTGCAGGGGGAGTATAGAAACATATTTGCAATTATTATATTTAGTGTGCATGTATGGTTGAAATTTTTCTTGAGGGAAAATGAAAATTTTAGATTTTTTTAGTACTGAGCAAATGGAAGTTGAGCTCGCATGATACGTCATAGAGTTGCCAATTTGTGTTTGATTGATCACAACTTCAAAAATCCTAACTTCCTTATTTTTAATCGGAATTTGCTCAAACTTTCACTGACTTGTTTCTCTCATTTTTCTACTCCTATTAAAACTAACTTAATTTCAGGGTGGACTTCCCCTTTAACTCCTACACTTCCACGCAGACTTAACGCCTTTCTGGCAGTAAAAAGACAAAATCTGATATATTCAGTGCCTCATTTCTGTTTCTGAAATACTGGTAGCTGACACTTAAAGCCTATCTGCACTAGTTTGGCCAGGAGGGATTAGGCCTCCCTGCATGGTCACTCACAGGTGGTTATCTCATCAAATCAGTTCTTAACTAACATAAGAAAAAGAGGGCGCAAGTAGCTATAAGTAGTGCAGTGGCGCTTTAATGGCTGTATTATCAACATAACTTTGTAAAATAGCTACCATCTACTTGATTCTAGATGTTGAGGTATCATGGTTAAGTTGGTTGAGCAATTTTTGCCTTTTGTACTGAGTAACCAAATATAGAGGAAAATATCAAAAAGTATATTTATTAATGCCCAGAAGAGTAAATAACAAAAGTGTTTACCATCACTATAGTGCAATAGTCAAGTTTCTAATGATGTATGAGACTATGATGAGTGTTTTTTTTCAAGTCACTATCTCACTGTGGTGACTTGGAACCTACTTCAATTGAGATGAAAGTATGCATTGACAGATTTATTAACAAATTATCTTCACCCTTGTCGGGGAGTATATTCCCATGCCATTTTCCCCCCTCTAAAATCCCTGTTCTTGGTTTTAACAAAGAGGATATTATGCTCTAATGAAAATCCTTGGTTATGAGTAGGACCCTTAGTGACATCTCAGATACTCCCTGTGTTGTTTGCTCAGTCAGTAGAACGTCCGCCTCACAACCGGGAGGTCGTGGGTTCGAACCCCGGCCACGTCATACCAAAAGACGTTAAAAGAAGGGAGTTGCTGCTACCTTATTTGGTGTTCAACAATAAGGGATAGAGCAACGTCGATATGGTGCTGCTCAGTGGCTGCCAGCCTCACCAACAATTGGGCAAAAAGAATTTCCATTTTCAGTTTAACTTAATAAAATTTGGAGTAGATTTTAAAAGATTATTATTTATTATTTTTTCTTTTGATACAGGTGGAAGGTAATGTGAAGATGCCTGAGTCTCTGGTAAATGCATCTCAAGTCACCGTCTCGCTTTGCAGTGACGGCACCTACTTCTATCGGGTCTGGTGCCCTCCTGGTCCCGACAAGAGTGGCAAAGGTCAACCTGTCACGGCTGATCTTCTGAACATGAAGGTAACATTCTTTGTAATAAACAGGCCTAATAATTACCAGATTTAAATCAGTTTCCTTCTTTTTTTTTTCTTCCTTCTTTTTTTTTATCTGATTTTGTTTGTTTTCCTTTTCTTCCTGATTATATCCTGATTTTCCCCTTATTTTCTCTATTCTTCCCTATTTTCCCCTATTTTTCTCTATTTTCCTCTATTTTCCTCTAATTTTCTTGCTCAAAAGGGAGAGGGGAATGTTGTTAGATGTCATTCCCCCCCCCCCCGAATCCTCTTTTTTTTTGTTTACTCAATGGGGCGTGGTTGAGGGAACCCCCCCCCCCCCCCCCCCCCCCCCTTTTGAGCAAGAAAATTAGGGGAAAGTAAACCTTCCTCAGTGACCACCTGGTTATTTGAAAGACCACCTGTTTAAAATGACCGCATTTTGTGTTTCATTTGAAAAGTTTTCTCATTGAAACCTGCACTGGAAGACTGGCTGCTTTATTAAGACCATATTTCTTGTTTTCCGTGAGTGGGCTCTATCCGCTTTTAAGGTATTTCTTTTCTTTTAGTCATGATGAATCATATACTGCTCATATTTTCAAGTTTGTTTAACATGTACGTGTATAGTGATGAATAATCTATGGTTACATGATATCAGTTGTCAGTTGCAACTCTGTACATAATAGATAGGCCATTTAAATTTATGTTTGATCGGAGGACTTCAAACTGCACGACTGGCCCAAGATCTCATACATGTATATGTAAAACAATTGAGATTTGTTGCCAATTTGCATCATGAATCACTACTGATTTAATGCTATCTTTGTAGGAGCAAGATGGTGTGGTTGTTGCTGAACCACTTAGACCATCGGTAGTACTAGTAAGGAACGAGGACGTAGTGAGGGGTGTGACGGACCCTCTGCTCATAAGACTGAGAACATTTCGGCCGGGTAACGCTGCTGCCCTAGCCCAACTCACCAACTCCAACGGCAATGCAGGCGGCAGGGAAGAGATCTGTAAGTATTGCTTTAGCTTTAACAGTATCCAGGGGGGTGTTTCACGAAGACTAAGATCGACTTTAAGTTGGACTTAACTATGGCAGACCATTCATGCCACAGGTTACTCTCACCATTGGTCTCTCAATTATGATCTTTAGATAATATTTTTTCCTTCAATAACGAACTATCAAGAAAGGTTAATTCTGAAGATTTGTGACCACGATTTGTACGTCCCTTGAGAGACCAATGCCAGTAAATGGTGAGAGGAAACAGTGGCATGAACGGCTTGCCATAGTTAAGTCCAACTTAAAGGCGACCTTAGACTTTGTGAAACACTTCCCTGTTGTCTTTCCAAATTTAAGAAAACTTAAAAATCTAAATATAATGTTGGAGATATCAAAGTATTTCTTTCCTTCTCCCAGTCATTCCAATTTCTTTAAAATCAATATTCAACAACAAAAAAAAAACAAGAATTAGAGCATATGAATTCTGTAATATAGTTTTTAGTGAAAACTGCCAGGGTATTAGTATATTTGTAAAGCGCTTAGAGACATTTGTATTAAAGCTTATCTGCCGTAGTTTATAGGAGGGACTAGACTGCCCTGCAAGGTCACTGGACAGGTGGTTATCTGATCAACTCAGCTCTCAGTGAACATAAGAAAAAGAGGATCATGGGGGAGCAATGGTCACCGATTAAGCATTGTTTGTTATATAGAGGGCGCAAGTAGCTGCAAGTAGTGCAGTGGGCCTTTAAGCGCTATATAAAAATGAAATATTATTATTATTATTATTAATGCCATTGGCAATGTTTGGACATCCTATTTTGAATTTTGTTACATGAGTTATAGAACAAAATAGATTTAAATTTATTTGTGGTATCCATGAAGAGCATGTTTACATGTGTCTGAACTCATATGCTCCTTGCGTTGTCTCTATACAGCTACTACCAGCTGTGGCCTGACCCTGAAACTCCTGCGCAGGTCACCTATCTACTGCTGCGGCAGTAGCGTGGTGATTGTGACGTCGCCCCCTGGAGGTGGTAGCAGCTCAGCTACTCGGTCTCTCTTCAGTACTACCGCAGGCCTTAGTGGGCTCAGAAGTGAGTTGGAAAACAAGAATATTTTAATTTCTGCCGTCAAGGCATGGCTGACAATTTACTAGTATAGTGTGAGTCAAAAAAAAATTACACCTAGAAAATTGCTAATTATTTAAAAATCATTGATGAACATTAAATTGTTATATATCTTATGAAAGAGTGTTTCATCCCAAATCATTTGGTACCATTTCTGTGTGGTATGTGTTCACGCTTGGATGAACAGGAGACATTGTTTGCGAGAGTGCAAAAATCGACTTGCGTCAAAGTTGCCTATGTGATGTTTAAATATTACAATTGGGATTTGGGTATTAATTCGGTCTTTGCAGATCCAAATAACATCCCTAACAAAATTAATCATATCGGATATCAAATATCAAAGAACATTTGTGTGCGTGTGTGTGGGTGTGTGTGACTTTGCCCTGAGCAAAAAATATATGCAATGCATTTCATTTGATACATTCAATTCATTCTCTCACTCCGCTAATCCCCACATAATACATACTGTAGGCATCACTTTGGGGCAAGTCGATTTTTGCACTCTCGCAAACAATGCCACCTGTTTATCCAAGCGTGAACACATACCAATCAAAAATGGTACCAAATGATTTGGGATAAAACACTCTTTCATAAGATGTATAATAATTTACTGTTCATAGATGATTTTAAAAATAATTAGCAATTTTCTAGGTGTAAACTTTTTTTTAACTCACATGGTATACTTTAGAAACAGAAACTCTCACATACAGGATAATTTTACTTATTTGAGGTGAGGGACATATTCTCATGCCACACAAGAGAAGTGAAACATGACACTGAAATTTTTGCAGTTGACTAAAAAGTATCCTCCAAAGAGAAAACTCATTCGTAACAATTTGCAGAACAAGTCATGTTGCATACCATTTGGGTTTTACAGCAGCTTTCCAGCAAATTGATTTTCAGCATAAAGTAATGACATTGATGCAATGATTTACCTCCTAGTATTTTGATCACCAGTATTTGTTACAACCTATATTTAGCAATATCCAAGAGCAGTCTCATTTACAAAAATGGTAACGGATGAATATGCAGTATAAAGGAAATCACAATTTGGTATGTTTGTGCTCTATGATTCTAATTTACACTATGAAACCTCAGATAATCTGATAGCTCACCAAACATTATTCACCTGCTTTATCATGGGCTAATTCACATTTTTGCTTCTTCTTCAAATTTGATGCAGCATTGGCGACAAGCATCTGTTTCAATCTTTCAAACGGTCTCCTGACCAGCAAGCTAGAGCTGATGGACGCCCCTGCATGTGCTATTGCAAGGGGTTCAAATGTACAAGGTCTAGGTAAGGTCTAGAAAATCTCCTTGGAATCACAAAGGGGTGAAGGTATTGTTTGGAATTACAGATTTAAAAAAATATGAAGCGTTAATGAGCTTCAGTGACAGATGATGTATGATGTAATAATAATAATAAAATAATGAAAAAAACGGTGCTTATAAAGGGCTTACCACCAAAGTCTCTAAATGCTATAACATGCTAAAAATACAATGATAAACAATTACGTATTAAACAAAACAAAAAGACAATTTGAAACCCTACAAAATACAACATCGAACCTCTATAAATTTGATGCAGAGTTGACTGGCAGGTCATTAACAGCATCAGAATGTTTTGTTAGGAAGTACATACATAATACTTTTACTTGGAGAGAACCATGTGGAATCTTTCACACATTTATAGCACATTTCTTGTTTTGGAAAGCACTTTTAGAATTCTCTTCATTGAGTTTAGTTGATAAATAGCAAGATAAAGGCACTGCTAACTGCTGCAGTAAACAAAATGATTCTCCTCAACTGGAATATTAAACAAGTGAGAAATAGAGAAAATTAAAATATTTAATATTACACAGGTGTTTGGGTGAAGGAAGCGATTCAGTTCCTCTGAAACGCCAATATGGGTAGGGGGATGGGGGAAGGGGGGGGGGGGACTATCATCATCTTTGTAATAGAATGGACGTACCTGCTTCCTAGAAGGTCAAGGTAGGGGTCAAGGACGTGCCCCTGTCCCTCGAAGATGATATCTACAGGATGTAAATTCCAAGTTCCAAGTTGTTTCTCTGCTATTTGTTCAAACATCTGAGATTTGCTGTGGAGGGATTTTAACGATTGCCTCCATTTCGCATCCTGTTAGATATTCACACTTAAATTGATGTAGATCATGCATGGATTTCAAAACATGTCACACATACACACGCACATATTGATCCATGTATTAGTAGAACAATATGGGACCGTTTGCATCATAATAACAGTATATCTGTAAAGCACATAGAGACATTGTAGATGTATTGAGTGCTTTATAAAGCGGAATATTATTATCATGTTTCATTCATTCTCTAGGTATCTGCTATGACGAGCTGAACAACGCAATCTGGACTTGTTCTCCAGACTGGGTGGATCAGTGGCAGAATCCCGGGCTTAGAGCCACTCACCATGTCTGTAAACAGCTTGGAGTACCGCAACCTCCACTCACAGACAGAGCACCACAAGGTAAACGTGTGCTCGCAAGAGTTGTCCAGTGAATGCAATTGCCATTAATTAAGTTTTGTTAGATATACATGACTTTACAAGTTACTGGTATACGTTTGGCAAGATTAACAATTCAGAATGATTTTGAATCATTTCTCTATTCCATGGATTTCTAGCTTTAATATTATTAAAGATAAAAAAAAAAATCTCTCCCAATAACAATTTTACCAGAATAGTAATACAGTGAAACCCAAGGGATAAAAGTGGTCTTTATGTACAGGTTCCTTTAGTACATGTTTCAATGAGAAACCATTTTCAAGGGGAAACAAAATGTGGTCTTTGTAGACAGGTGGTCACTAAAGCAGGTTAGATTGTAGCAACATTCTCAAGAAATCACAATCTCTTATCTCCTAATTTTATTAACCCATTCCCACCCAACAGATAACATGCTGGAGGTGTCAGAGGTGGTGGGTCTGCTCTTACACCACGTGGGTAGCTCCAGCTGTCACAACGTACACAGCGAGATGTACCAGAGCCCCGCCCTGGGGAGGCTCCTGGCCGCCCCGACCCCGCCCCCAATCACCCATCTCAGGAGACTGTGTGCTATACTGGAGAAGGCTGTGGAAGAAAGGAACCTGCCTATCATCCAGTGCATGCTGGTTGTTCTTCAGGTATGTTTTCTTGTAGAAGCTGTTTTAAAGCCCGTCTGCACTAGTTTGGCCAGGGGGATTAGACCTCCCTGCAAGGTCACTGACAGGTGGTTATCTCATCAAATCAGCTCTCAATTCACATAAGAAAAAGGGGATCATGGAGGACTGGCAGGCACCGATTAGGCATTGTTTGCTACATGTATATAGAGAGCGCTAGTAGCTACACATGTATAAGTAGTGCAGTGGGGCTTTAACCCTTACTGTACTGGGGGGGGGGGGGAGCCCCTCGAAATTTTCGGAGTCTTACGCACATTTTGATACCATTTTCGTCAAAATCGGATATACCTGTAAGGTGTTACATATCAATTAGTATGCGCATGTCATCAAAAAAGTGCTATAGTTGCCATCTGTACAGTGCGTCCCAGAAAAAACGAAACCGAGAATTATCGATCTTTTATCATAACCTAGTCACATTTATAATTAAAAAATGACACATATTTGGAAAGCTTAGATCCTCCTCTTTCATTTGATGCAACTCATATGATGCATATGTCACACATGAGTGATTACAATGAATTTGAAGAGAGGAAACCAAAAAGTCATTTGGCGGACGGTATCTGAATTTCAAAGAGAAAATCACATTTCTAGAAAGTTAATCAGGAAAAATGAGCAAGGAATGACAAAGTTCTGTTTGTTTGAAGTAGTACTTGCATTTCCATAATTTTATCAAACAAATTTGTTTTCACTTGCTGCCTGCCGTAGCAACAAGCAGAATTGACAAAAGGCTTAACTCCGTTTCGTTGACAATCAGCCGTAGACGGAAGACTTTATGCACGGCTGTATATTGAGTGGTCTTCGTATATACAGGTTTGACTGTCTATTTGAATCTGCCATACATGTAATGGCCACTTTCTATAAAGTGATGGCCTATATTGTTTCTCTCTCAGAAGAAATGAGTGTTGCAGAACCTGCTTAGAAAAGCCACCACTGTACAGTGGCTATCTTTTCTGTCTCCCATAGTCTCTGTCGACAGATGTGTACTGTATTTTGAGTCCTTCCCATTACTATGCAGAATTTTAATATTTTTAGAGACCACATAACATTTCACTTTATTGTCCTATATTTGTTCACTTCCTACAGTGCCTACCCCCTCCACCCCCCCCCCCCAAGGGTACATTGCCATGTCTTTTTGCAATTAAACATTTTGGTTCAGCCTTTTAGGCTTTAGAATGACCATGCTGACCTGTCCTTATCATCCAAGAAGTGAAAGAGTTGTTTCCATTTCCTCTTTGACCTGTCGCCTTCCTCTTTGGGCCTATTAATTACAGGATGTCTAGCCATGTGTTCTAGTATTGAGCAATAGACTGCATGGTTTCCAGCAAGAGGTGACCCATCACTGCCAGTTGAAAGGCTAATAAACGATTGGTTTTCCGGCTCTGTTTCAGAGTCTCTATTTCAAGTTACTTTTCATCTCCGTGACTCTACTATTACCATTGCTACAACTCTAGTTAGCTTTCATCATATTATGTAATGTCAAGATTGCATGAAGCGGATTTACATTTATTGGAAGGGGATGACCAACGTTCATGAGTGATTGAAAGAAATGATACCACCAATTGTATTTCAAAATTCAGCTTGTCAATACAATTGTAGGGCATATCTTTTCTAACAGTATATCACTTGATTGCAGAGAGGTGTTTACTTGACCATATGTACAAACAGTTAACAAAGTATTCACACCCTTTCCAAGATTTTTTATTTTTCAAAGTATTTGAAAACAATTATTTCTCCCAATTTACGTTTCTTGAATATGTGACGTATTAAAGCTTACATCTAAAATTATTCAATAAAGGCCGATATTCAACCAGTCCACCTTTCATTCTTGAGTTATGAAAAACACAACAAATTCAAGTTTACAATGGGTATGCCTAATTTAGTTGTTAATTGATGGGATATACATGTAGAGGAGGTTCTTGGAAGTTCAAAATCATATTTTGATGCCAGTGAATGGTCACTTTTTGACAAGATATAGCGATTAAAGGCATCGTTTAACAATGTTAAATCTGAGATGCAAGGCCCTACTTGGTTATCAATGTCAGTGATGTGTAATATTGAAGCCCTACAAAAAATTGCACTTCAAATGATCATGAAGTGCCTCAAAAAAGTAAAAAATCTTTGAGTGACCGGTGTTGACCATACTCATTTTCCCCAATAAACTGTAGTGTTATAAAAACTTTGATGAAAACAAAAAATGGCATTTCGATTTCAATCCTAAAAATCTTGATAATCAGACAGGCGATCAGCTTGTTAAAGTCATGGGATTCCTGACTGGCCTAAAGGTTTATAATTTTGATTGCAGCATGAGCTAAATCCAGTATTTTGTTTCAGAATCTGAGGCAATGTTTAATACAGAGTAACTTTATATTCTCTGTTTCAATGATCTATTCCTCAGGTTGTCTTCAAGTCACATGCATTCAATCCAGAACACTTGGATGAGAGAAACATCTTGGAAAGGACCAGGTAAGCTTTTAAAAAAAATCAATACAGCACATTCCTTTTTATTATTTGTATTATTTTACAGCTTTCCTGAATTCTAGTCGGACAATTCAGTTATGTTATGATATTGTTAACTTGTATATTGTCATAGAATATTTGCCCTCTCTTTTTCATCTTTAAATGTAGATGTATTTGTGTTGTTCCTATGCAAGGTATGTTTCATGGTTTTAGGCAGGGCTTATATTTACAGGGTTTTTGTATACAAATTTCCTTGCCACGATATGCTATAGCTTTAATCTTTACCATGTTGTTCTTACTCTTCCCTCCAAGGAAACTGGTCTGGGGTCTTCTGACATCCACAGATGAGAAGTTCAGGGCTGAGAGACTGATAACCGAAGCCTGTAATGTCATCAAGTAAGTTACAGCATCGGTATCGTCAGTAAGGCTGCGAAAAGTACTCAAATACTTTTCCTGCCGTGTAAAACAAATTAGGGGTTTGTAAAAAAAATTATGAAAAAATCATTTATAAAATATTATCAAAAAAAAAAAAAAAAATGGCCGCCGAGTATTCAAGTATTCGCCTGTAAGCCTGGGAGTGTACTCAGCCTTAATCGTCAGTGTTTGGTGATTTATGTTGTCTGACCATTTATCAGAAATTTGTGCACCAACCTTCATGTACTTTCAAACTTTGGATATCCCAGTTAGAAGATCACTGGTCTACCTCTGGTCTATCACAGTTGACAATTAAGATTTATGTCTCTGTATTGTTACGTGATTGGATCTGATGATATTCTGAGCTCACCATAGTGAAAGTCATGAATGTATATTTGCACACAATAATGAAATTCCAATCCCCAAAGAAGAAGTGTACTGCATGATGAATATGAATGGCCAAATATCTCTTGCTTAATCGCATACATCAGGCCTGATAATTGCCCGATTTAAATCGGTTTCCCAATTTTTTTTCCTTCCTGATTTTACTCCAATTTTCCCAATTTCTCCCTCATTTTCCCTATTTTTCCCCCATTTTCCATATTTTCCCCAATTTTTTTACTCAAAGAGGGGGGGGGGGGGGGGGGGGGGGGGGTGATTAGTGTGCACTATTACCCCTTATACATTTACTTTTAAATTACATGTATATCAAGATTGCCTGTACCACTGACCAAGTTAATGAGCATTTGAATGTTTTGGCTCTAACTGTTCATTATTATCTTACAGGACTGGCCTTTCGGTGCTCTTCAATGGTGCCGATCAGATGAACGGTCTCCTTCGTCAGCTGCTGAGTGAGGGAGACTCTCGGGCCTCCTTGGGTAAGCTTCGGGACATGATCCTGATGGAGCTAGCTCGTCAACTGAGGCAGACTCCCTGCAAGGAGACCTCCATTCACAAGTAAGCAACACTTTTATGATAAATATGATGATTTTGATGATGATATGTCTCCTTTGAGTGATGGAGACCCACGAGCCTCCTATTGGGAAGGATGCAGCTAATAACTCTTTGGACTGATTTTGTGTATATTCATTTGAAATGTGAATTCTAAAAGTACCAGTTGCATTGCAGTCTTTTGGTAATAATTGCAAGGCATTACTTTGTGTGGAAGGTTGAACACGTAATGTGTGCAGAATAATTGATTTTTTTTTCAAGTTGAATTTTACCAATAACTGTACCTCGTAAAATCTCAAACGGATTAAAGTGTCTGTTCAAATTTCAATATGTATAAAAGATCTTTGTTTTCTTGTCGGAGAAACTTATTGCCTTTGTCATGTCTAAAACACCTACTTTCTGCTATATTCATGTAGCCATACTTGAAAACTCATCATATTCTTTGTTCCCAGGTTAAAAATTAGAAAATGGACTTGGAAATCATGTACATGTACATGCATGGTGTCTGACAGTTTGATAATCTTTTCTTCATCAGGTTCGATGAAGGGTTGGTCCAGTTGATCATGAATATATCAGAGAGGGAATCACGTCAACTTCTCACTCAGTGCCTCACCAGGAATAAACCAGCTGAATCTATCACATCTAATGTACCAGTAAGTAAACCTTAACTTACATGTATCCTGGGCCCTGTAAAATGAAAAAATCAACTTACAATCAATTGTGAAAATTTGTTGTATCTCCAATCTTGTAGTAATTAATCCCATCTTGCCATGCATTGTGTCCATCTGAAAAAGAAACTTAATAAAAAGTTACCATTAAAAAAAAATTACGACTGATCGAAGGAGATACATAATTTGAAGAAGATTTGATCAATTGTAATTTGTTATGTTACTGGGCCAATGTGTAATGATCTTTTCTGAATAAGTAATGAAATGCCAAGTCCAGAATATCGTCAACTGAAATATTTTTTTCTTACTATAGCATGATCAAAAAGAAGAAACAACATTCCACTTTGTAATAGAGGGATAACTTTTCCTGCCACCTGCCAAAGATTTCTTTTTAGATACCCACCTCCCAAGTTCTAATGTGACCTAAGAAATTTGTTTTGTATACTGTAATTGTATGTGTAGATTGAGCATACTACATGTCTTAACATCTAATGTTTACATATAAAACTACTTTGAATGGAAAGTGGATCCCATCCCTATCTTCCTATTGTCTCATAGACGCAGGCTATGTTAAGGGGAAAACCGTCCCTCGGATAGGACGTTAAATTGAGGCCCTATGTAGAGGAGAGTCATCACCCTTGCACATTGAAAACCCACTGCACTATTCGTATAAGAGTAGGGGAAACCCCTGCATCCCCCCCCCCATTGATAGTTATACCAGGAGGAGAGACTCAAGGGTTACAGTGATTCAGTTTGCTTTTCGCCTCCCAGGCAATGGTGACGCCAAATACTTAATAATAATAATAATAATAATCTCATTGCTTGCACAGCTTGCCAGCCCTTGTCAGCAGTTCCTAACATCACTGGAGATACACACCTTGCAAGGCATTATCATGAGTGATGAGAATGAGGAGGATGGGACCACCACCACCGGTGGTACTCCTCAAGGGGCTACCTCTCTCAAGCCCTGTTCAAAGGATGTAGAAAACACAGTCCTCAAGCTGGCTACTAAGATTTTCAACGGATGTGAACAGGTGAGAATTTGTGATGATGATGATGTGATGGTGATGTTGATGGTGGTGGTGGTGGTGGTGGTGGTGGTAGTGAGGATGATGGTGACAATGATGATATTGATGGTGATGATAATAATGGTGATGATGATGATGATGATGATGGTTATGCTGCTACTGCTGCTTCTGCTGATAATAAAACTGCTGCTGCTTAAGATGATGATTATAATGATGAAGATGATGATGGTGATGATGACGGTGAAAGTGATGATGATGATAATAATTATGATAATGGTGATGAAGATGGTGGTAATGATGGTGATGGTGATGATGACGGTGGTGATGACAGTGATGGTGATGATGATGATGATGATAGTGATAATGGTGATGAAGATGGTGGTAATGATGGTGATGGTGATGATGACGGTGGTGATGACAGTGATGGTGATGATGATGATGATGATGGTGATAATGATGATGAAGATGGTGGTAATGATGGTTATGGTGATGATGATGGTGATGATGATGATGATGATGGTAATGATGATGATGACGATGATGATGATGGTAATGATGATGATGATGATGATGATGATGATGATGGTGAAGATGATGGTAATGATGATGATGATGATGGTAATGATGATGATGATGATGATGATGATGATGATGATGATGATGATTATGGTGGTGATTATAGTAGTGATGATGGTGATGATAGTAGTGATGATGGTGAAGATGGGGATGCGTGGTTGCCTAATGCTGAAGCATATATAATCTGTATCATTCGATCAACTTTCAGATTCTTGAGACTCTACTGAGCATCTGCAATGACCTGATGAACTCTGGTCAGGCCAGTCAGATGCAGGTCCTGGACCGTGTAGTGAAGGGAACCATCCTGGGCTATCTCCTACCGGGTCTAGTCACAGCCCTACGTCATCCTAACCTGCGCAGTCTGGCCCTAGCTGAAGCCCTGGTCCCGCAAGTTGTAAGACTTGTGGTCCTCATCAGTCAGGTAAGTAGTCTGTAATCACAGATTCTGTTTAAATTTGTTTTGAAGTCACAACTTCATTATCTACATTGTAGATAAAAACTTGCTATTTCTGTTCAACTCCTACAAGGATTGTTCATATCAGTGAAGACTTGAATGTTAATGATTCATATTGGTAACTACTTTTCATTAACTATTGTTCATAATGAAAGGCAATACGGCTATATCACCCAGTTATGATGGTAATGCATGTCTTATTTTGATTCTGCGGTTGTGTAATATTTTATGTCTGCACTTTTCATCTGCAATGAATTAGTATTAGCCTTTGCGTAGTTCTTAAGCTGTGCTTGTCCAGTCTTAATTATGTGGTAATTTATACATCACTTCTAAAACATGTTAATATACGCCCTCCTAAATAAAATTATAAACAAAGGTATATGCACATGCATATAGGAACATGTAGGTGTAAAATGATTTAGATAACAAGATAAGAATGTGCAAGTTATAGTCCTAAATAAAAGAACAGGTGATAAGTCATTAATTACTCCAAACTTGGTCAAATTTAAGCAATGATATATCACTTCATGTGCAAATAAACTTGTTCATAGACATGTTGAGATCTCAAAATTTCACCCATATATTTTTTATTTAAATGTACTCTTCTGTTTGGCAGGTTGCCATGGCAATAGGAAACACTTCTTATCAGGAGAAGAAGATGGATAAGAACAGCTCTCAGCCTCACGATGTTGTCACAGACCTTCTCGCCAGTCACATCAAAGACAAGTGAGTTTCAATCTTCATAATATTCTCATGATACAAGCTTGTACCCCCCCCCCAATGTTCCCCATGACATATGTATTGCCAAACAATTTTTTGTTTCTTCTTTGTTTGTGTACATTGTGCCTTTGCAAACCCGAGACACTCCAGGGGAGCTTTTCACAAAACTTGTCATCAGTGACAAATGACAGTTTTTGTTGTAAGCTACTGAAATCCTTGCTTCTGATTGGTTATCAGCAGATTTGTCACTGATTTTAGTCATTTGTCATTGAAAAAAGGCTTTGTGAAACAGGTCCCTAGTATCAACTGGTAACTCTTGACAGGTGGTCATACCAGCCATCCCTGTAAGTGTGCTCAGATGATGTTAGATACCTTTTGATACAAATTTATATAACAACATCCATTGGCTAACAGACTGTGTCACAGTAATATGAAGGTCAGGGATTCAAGCCCCAGCACAGCACTAATATCATACGACAAGACGATAATCTACATATGCCCCTCATTACCCAGGTGCTGTAAGTGGGTATTTTTTTAACGCACAGTGGCCGTGTGCAGGAGGGTACTCTCTAAAGCCCTTTGGAAGGGCACAGAGGTGTCTATCTTATTGTGATATGGTTATAGAAGAACATACTGTTAGATGCTGCTTATACGTAATGGCTTGCATGGTGATGTAGATATACAGTAGGCTTACGGTTGCACCATGTGAGAGAGGGGGGAGGATTGGGGAGTCTGTAATCTGATGACGGATAGTCAACCTGTTCGAAACATCGAGCCACTCCTACTAACCATCCTCTCCAACCTGACGCTATCGTTCTCTTTAGAACTATAAGCTCAAGAAAGATTACCAACATTCCTTTTCATGACTCCCCAATCCTCCCCCTCTCCCACATGGTGCAATCGTAAGCCTACTGTACAGAATACTGTAATTATTACCTTTCTAAACCAGTTTGCCTGAAGTTCTTATTAATTATTACACTGTTCACATATTTAGGAGTGAGAAGAATTGTGAGAACTACCTGACCAAGCTGCGAATCCCAGCCCCGTGGGCTGCCGGTAAGACGGTGGAGACCATTCACCCTGTTAGGGATAACTACAAGTTCAGAGAGACTGTACACATCCCTGGTGCAAGATGTCTGTATCTGAGGTTTGAGCCTCGCTGTGCATCGCAGTATGACTATGACAAGGTAAATAAAAAGGGGGGATCAGGAGAGTGTTTCACAAAGACTGAGATCGACTTTAAGTTGGACTTAACTATGGCAAGCCGTTAATGCGACTATTTTCTCTCATCCTTTACTGGCATTGGTTTCTCAAGGGACGTACCAATTGTGGTCACAAATCTGCAGAATTTACATTTTTTGATAGTTCATTATTGAAGGAAAACAAATTATCTAAAGATCATAATTGAGAGACCAATGGTGAAAGCAACCAGTGGCATGAACAGCCTGCCATATTTAAGTCCAACTTAAAGTCGATCTTAGTCTTTGTGAAACACTCCCAGTACTTCAAAGTCAAAGAATAGCACTAAAGAAAGACATACATGTAACAGAGCTTTTTATTCTCCACTCCTGAGAATGAAATACAAGAATTTACAGAACGCTGAAATCAAACTATACAAGTAGGAATCTATTCTCTTATTACTTGATGCAAAGCTCTTTTGACTGCAAGTTTTGAGGATCAATTTGTACAATTGTTTTTGTTTTTATTATCTATGCTTATTCTTATGCTGTAAATTTTCAATCTGGTCCTGTTAATAATAATAATAATAATAGCCTAATAGTCCACTCCAAATTTTATTAAACCGAAACGGAAATTCTTTTTGCCCAATTGATCGTGAGCCCGGCAGCCACTGAGCAGCGCCAGATCGACGTTGCTCTATCCCTTATTGTTGAACGCCAAACAAGGTAGCAACAACTCCCATCTTTTAACGTCTTTTGGTATGACGCGGCCGGGGTTCGAACCTACGACCTCCCGGTTGTGAGGCGGACGCTCTACTGACTGAGCCAACACTCCGATTATACTCTCATCTTATCCTAATTTCTAATTTTCAGTTTCAGTTTTAGTTTTTGTGTAGGTGGCAGCACTAATAAGGCATTTCCTTTCTTGCTGTTTCCTCATTCTCATAAATACTCAATTTTCCCTATATTTTGTCCAGATTACGTGCACCTTTATGCTGTATATTATATTTGTATGATTGTCTTTGTAATGTATGTTATTTTGTCTTTTTATGTATGCGATTCTATATGTTATTTTATCTAAATGTTTTTTTTTATGACAAATGAAATAATTTTGACTATCTATCTATCTATATAATGAAACTCCGTTTGCATTTGATATCACTGAAATCCAAAGCAAAATTCTTTTGATAACCCCCCAAACTATGAAAATGTCAGACTTATTCCTATGTACATGTAATGAGTTGTCTCAGCAAATATTGTCCTTTGGGAGCCAGAAGGGTGCTAATACATGTACCTCTACTTCCAAGGAAATAAACTTAATGGTCCACACTTTTATGGAGTGCCTGTTGCCAACTCATTTACCCTGTACAGATTATTTTAATCCTTCAATGAAAAGTGTCCAAAAAAATAATTTTGCAATGAAATGGGAAGAAAAAGATAATATGAGTATGAACTGAATTTCCACCAAGTCTTTGGTAGATTATCTCTGTCATGAATATTGAAGGAGGAAGATGAAACCTAGCATTCCATTGAAGTGTGAACTAAAATTATTATTTAGTCTGGACTTAGTCCCGGCTTAACTTATGAGAATACCACCCACTGCCTTTTCAGCTCTCAACAGATGAAATATAGTTAAGGGTCTCACTCAATGTGATTTGGGGGAGTCGGGCTAACTCGGACCTGGGGAGGTTGCAAATACGGGGCCAAGTTGTTCTGGCATGATTGAATTTTTAAAGAAATCTTTTAGGGTTAGGGTTAGGTTTTAGGGTTAGGTCTAGGTTTGGGGTTTAGGGTTAGGGTAGGGTTTAGCATAAGGGTTAGGGTAAAGGTTAGGGTATGCTGGGACAACTTGGGTTTGAGTTAGGCTTACCCACCCAGGCAGTAATCTAAGAGTCAGTGAACATGTAATCATCGTTTTTTTCTTTCTCATTTTTTCCGACTTAGGTCGTGATCTATGCTGGACCCAACACCAATTCCAGGAAAGTGGTGGAGTATGGAGGCAACACTTATGGGTACGGAAGCAGGAGTGTGCTTGGGTCAGGCTGGCCCAAAGACTTGGTCAAGGTAAGGAAATACTGGCGACACAACGTCCAATGTCCAAGATTATCAACCAATAGATTGCTTGACTGATTGATTGCTTGATTGATTGATTGATTGATTGATTGATTGATTGATTGATTGATAAATTAATATATATATACAGTGTGTATCACAAAACAGATGTATGAGCATCAGGTTTTTCAAATTGTATGTTATGGTTTGTATTACACATTTGGAGAAATAAAACAAAATTGCTTTAAAAAAAAAAAAAATGGGTATGTATTATCCTCATCAGAGTGCAGCAAACAAAATACCTGCACCCTCCTCTTTCATCTCTATCTCCACATCACCTCCTAGTCTCCTACTCCTCCTCTACATTCTCCTCTGCTCCCTTCTTCTTCTCCCCCCCCCTCTTGTATCTCCACCTCCCCCTCACCTCCTTCCCCTCCGCCTCCGTCTCCTACTCTTCCTCTGCCTCTGCCTCTCCCCTCCTCCTCATCCTCCTTTTACACCTCCACCACCCCTACTCTTCCTTCTACTATTCCGTCTCCTCCTCCCCTCCCCCTCCTCCCCCTTCATCATAAAACTTGCTCATCATCAATGAATACATTGTCACCATTCTCATCATCATGAAACTGTTGGCCTTTGGCACATTTTTCAGTATTTGTAACTTGTGCTTTACACGGAAGTATCTATTTAATACTTTTTGTCATGAACCTAAAAGATTAAGATTTCACTTTCTATACCAGTAGGTGTGTTCTAAAGAATAGGTTCTTTACAGGTAATTCTAGGAAGGTATTGAATTGTAATGTACACAAAAGATGGTACGTCTCAGTATTGCAATGCTTGACATGCTATTGCTATCTAGGAAATATCAGGATGTCCTATACATTTCATAGAAAGTTTCTCAAGTTTCTCAGTGTGACGATAAAGCCTGACTGATAAAGATGAAAGCCATGAAAAGGAAGACCTAGATTGGTTTTCCAGCGACATTTGAAAGCATAAACCTTGTATACATCTACAGTGAAATTAAATACGACAATGCTTACACATTTCAAGATATGATTACAGGTTTAAATAGTGACCCACCGACCCTTCATTTATTTCAAATAGTTATTTTATTACGGTGTTGGTAGCACTGATCATACCAGCACATTCGGCCTTCACTTTAAAGGGAATATCCACCTTGGTTGGTTTTGACGATAGCAGGCTATTAGGAAGGCACATATACGGGTACATTGTATCTGTATAAGATCGAGAAGAGGGTCCTGTAAAGAATAGGAAAACTTTGCATTTTAATATTTGAAATCAATCAAATGCTGGTTGGTACCCCACAAATAGATTTTTTGTGAAACGCTCCCATTTCTTCTTTAATTACTAAAGATTTCAAGAAAAATGATTCTTTATTTTTTTATTTATTCATTCATTAATTCATTTATTTATTGTACAAACCAGTTCAGAGGTGCTAGCTAGCAAGATTACAAAATTTCCCATTGGATTGATTACAACTTTTAAAATTCATAACTTTCTAAATCCTTTATCAGGTTTTGATCACACTGTTGTGACCTGTTTCTCTTATTTGTCTGCTTTTAGTTAAATCAAGTTGATATCAGGGGGGATTTCCCCTTTTTATGACAGGCTTTCCACATTTTGTGATTTGGCGCATTAAATTTTGATTCAGAGCCCATCAAAATTATGCCAGATCATGATGCATGCATGAGTAGATAGAGCAAAAACTTCTGCACACACTGCTTCCATTTTTGTTTCATGACTAAATTGCAATTGATGTCAGAAATTATTTTAAAAAAGAAGCATTAGCGCCAAAACCCTTAAATTGGCAACACATTGAGGGATTCAAGTTCAATTTTTATTCGATCTCTGTTGAGGCTATGGTACACAATTTGCGAATTGTATCTTTTGATTTTTATATGCATAAAATAAATATCAGGTCTTAAATTAATCCAAGGCCACCAAGGCCATGGCCTTAGATGCCCCTCTCATTGGCCTTGGAGATTTGTTGTGCCCTTTCCAATTCTTCCTATTTGTGCTGTAATATAGGAATGTGCCCTACAGAAAAGTGGCCTTGCCCTAAAAATATTGAAATTTAAGGCCTGAAATATAGAAATTATTACCCGGTAAATACATCACAAATATTTGATCAAATTACCTGTTCTATCTGCAAGGATCATGTACAGTATGCATTACACACAAAAAAATGTACAAGTATATTTATCTGTAGAGTTGATGTTAATGGTACATGTATAATTTCATCTATTGTGACAGATGTACATGTACAATGTACCATAGACTTACAGTGTATGATCCCTTCAAAACCAATTGTAAGATTTGTATGTGTAAGGTAAATTATCCCTTTTTGGGGAGGGGGGGGGGGGGCTGGTAGCAGGGGTGCCTCTTAATATCTATTAAAAGTTTCCTGCCAAGTCTTGTACAATTCATTTTTGATTGACAATGGTAAACAAAATATCAGTACAGTCCAACATGCTTCAGACCACCTGCATAGAAAGACCATCTGTTTAGATATGAAGACCACATTTTTCCCCCCTTGAAAGTGGTTTCTCTTTGAAACATGTACATGTAGTACACAAGCCTTTACATAAAGACCACCTGCCTAATATAACATAATAATAATATATGATTCTTATATAGCGCACATATCGAAACCACTTTTCTTGACTACCTTGGGCTGTCTTTATATAAAGGTTTGGCTGTGTTTGTTTGACAATTCTCTGTCTGACCTGCTTTAAGATTCAAGGAATTTGAATCAAATAAACAAAGGTGTAATAGGATGTGGTGGCTTCTTTGTCAGAACCTGTGAAGGAAAACTCATTATTCTATGGACACACAATACCTTGTGACTCAGCTTATGAATATTTCTACTCTCTGATGTAATTGTCATGCTTTATCAACTGTAACCCTTAAAACCATACTTGTTCAAATTTGTTTGCAAACAATATGATCTGTTTCATTTGGGATAGTTAAGTATGAAGCATTGTTGTATGATATTTAGAGGAAATAATTATTTTCACACAAAGAGTTTTTTTTCTAATGCATATCCCCCAGTGAGTCTTCTGTTTGTAAACAGCAAGCACATCTATTACACTTCTTTTAGATATAAAACTCACTAAAGTCTAATTGATCTGTGAGTAGCATATTGTAAGTCTCTTTTAACATATACAAATCTATATCGTTTCTTTGTGCAGTATACACGTACGTGATACATGTACATGTACGTACCATTTTTTTCATTTGGGACAGTTAAGTATGTACATGTAGCAATGTTGTATTAAATTTAGAGTAAACATTTGTTTTCATGCAAAAATTTTTGTTTCATGTACACTACCATGTACGTACTAAAAACTTTAACACAAATAATAAACCCAAATTACTAGTATTACCCAGGCAATCACACTCTTTCTGAAGTTAAAAATAACGATTTTACAAAATATAATACAGTCCTGTAAATCTGTAATCCTCATTGTTCTCAATGAAAATCAACATCATTTGTCCTAAAACTATACTTAGACCATTTTACAAAAACTTATTAAAAAAAAAGAAATAGTAATGAATATTTCAGTAATCTTTTCAACCACTTCAAAACTGTTAAAAGTACCTGTAAAGATCTGGCATTAAAGATTTATTGTCAAATTGAAAATTTGAAATGAGGTAAAGAGTTGGAACTTGAAAGAGGAGACCAATGCAGACCATTATATGATTTGATTTATCGCCCAGGCTAAATTTAGTTCATGCTTTGGATTACCTGTCAGACAAATTACTCGGGGGAGGGGGGGGGGGGGGGGGGGTTCAAAGTGCGTCCTACAGTACATGTATATGCAATATATTACAATTTAGCTTTATCAAACCATTTCATAACTTCAAGTAGCATCTGTAAAGGTCTGGCAAAACAGATTTATTGTCATATTTTTGCTGGGTCATGAACAAGGGGAAAGTCATCAATTTCATGTCCAGATGGTAATGCATGATACATTATACACCTACAGTGCTTTTGCCTTTAATATCCTTTATATATTTTGTATACTACTATGCATGTACATGTACTGTACATGTACATGTATAGAGCCTGCAAATACAAGAAGTAAATCGAGAGTACGGAATATATGTTCAAACTGTATATTTTATTAGATACAGCTTATTATGATATACAGTAAGTAATGTACAAATGGATTTAACAAAGAGAAAAAATACAAAATAACTGGCCAACCCCTTTCTTTCTCTGCCCTCTTAGATTGACTATAAAAAGAACAAACTACCCAGAAATTTATGTATTTTCTGTTGAGAGCCGAAAAAGGATGTTAACTCTATTCAAAATGATTTGAGTTGACACTTAACACCCTTCGGGCTTGGGGTTGATGATATGAATGATATATGATCACAGAAGTACATATAACAGACCAAAGGTTCAATTAGATACGATAGTCCTTACATCCTGTAAGTTATCCCTTTGAAGGAATCAGGGACCAGTTTCACAAAACCTTTTTTCAATGACAAATGACGAAAATCAGTGACAAATCTGTTGATAACCAATCGGAAGTAAGGATTTCAGTAGCTTATAACAAAAATTGTCATTTGTCACTGATGACAAGTTTTGTGAAACGCCCCCCTGTAGTTAGAAAATAATTTGTTTACCAGTAGTCTGAACTTCATCTCATATCTTTTACATTTCATCCGTTGGGAGCCAGAAGGCATTAAAGATGAAGTTGAGTTCTGGGGGGTGTTTCACAAAGATTCTAAGTCGAACTTAACTCTAAGTTGAACTTAAAAGTTATGGAGAGCCATTTGTAGCCTTAAAATAAAATATATTCAAAAGCGAAAAATCAAGTATTTTAGACTTTCCATAAATTCCACATCAAGAACATGAAATCTCCCATGATAATAGAAAATATGAATGATTTGAATCAACATTTTATGCCTTTTGAAAAAACTTTTACAAAATATTTTCAAGGATGCTAATGGCTTTCCATAACTTTTAAGTCCAACTTAGAGAT